AGAGGCGCTCCTGTCCTCACCTCCCACACTCGAGCGACAGCTTCCAGCCCTCAAGATAACGCGCGCGTATCCTTTGGTTGCCTTCCAAGCCCTGTTTGCAGGATGCCATCCTGATCCGCGCTTGGGCAACCCGAAACCCCGCAACGCGAACCACATCCACGGCAATCCAGCCCGAAAGCCCAGCCCAGGGCGTCTGCCCCAGCCGGGGGCAAGACGAAGAGCTGGAGCTCCAAGATTCCTGGCACCCCTTCTGCTGAAAAACTCTCGTGTGCAGAGGTTCAGAAACCCATTATGCACATTCTTATTGCTCTAACAGAGCTGCCCTCCATTTCTGACTCGACCCTGATAAAAAGACTGGTGTTTGCTGCAGGAGCGCCCAACCGTGCGCTGAACAGGTTCAGAGTGACCCGCTGGGAGGACGGTTTCAAACCAAACCCGGTATTTCTTTCCATAGCGCTGAAAACTCCCCGTTCGGCCCCGTACCTCGTCCTCCCAGGAATCAGCACGCAGCCTCTCGGGGTACAGCCAGCTGCCGTTCTGCTTTTCCAGCACGACCTGCGTTAGCGAAGGACAGAGGGACAGGGACGTAAGGCCGGCCGGCGCCGCCGCGCGCGGGAGCAGTCGCACGCCGACAGCTGGCTCCGGGCCGCCGCAGCGCCTCGGGACCGAGGGGGTTTTCGGCAAACCAACATGCAATAGCGCATTTGGCCAGCCAATGCGTTTTGCTTACTGACTCCTCGTTACGTGCTTGCGTGGGTTTTGAAATTTTGCCTGTAAACGGTGCCAACGTGGCCCTTCACTCGCCACAAGCGCCTCGATCTTTAAGGCCCCTTCTATCACTTTCCGGACCCAAAGACGACATCTTTTTAATAAGGCAATGTCATTTAACGCCCGAGAAATGCTCCCGTTACCTGTGCATGCTGTTTATCTCCTTGTCTGTTCTCAAGTTTACTACTTAAGTCTTCCCGCAGCTTCTTCAAAGAACTTCTAGCCTGGCAAAGGCAAGTCAATTTAGCTCGATCCGCATGGACAGTGTCACTCAGCCTAACAGAAATCAAACGAAGGCGCGGCGGCCGCTACGGTGCCCTGCTGACACGCGATCGGTGGCTTCTCCGCCAGCCTGACCCTCTGCTTTCACTACAGCCCTGCCTGCAAGCAGCACTGTCTCTGGCAGACACGATCCTTGCGGGGCAGCTGTCCCACATGACCATGGGAAGAAAAAAAAAAAAATTAAAGCAAAAAAAAAAAAAAGCAACAATCCAGAGACGCTTCTGATTTTTCATGCATTAGTCATCGAGTTCACCTTTGAAGTGCTGAGAAGACCCTTGCTGCTCCCCAGCTCCCTCTGCCACGCTGCGGGACGCCGACAAGTACAGTCTTGACTTGCAGCTACTCGAATTAGTCAGAGCAGGTGAGCCAGAGGAATGATTTACAGGCTTTTACAGGCAGCAAACGCTGCCCCAACGCTTTCCAAAGAAAAGCTTTCTCAAAGCATTAACAGCGTGGCTTCATCTGTACCCCTGGGTTTTAGGTGCCCGAGGTGCTGGGGCAAAGCAGTTTGCCAGAGACCGGGCAGCGGCAGGACAAGGGACAAGGTGAGAGCGCAACGTGCGGCTCTTGGGTCAGCAATCAGGCCCTCCACCTGGGGACAGAGATCCGTGACTTTGATCCAGCTGGATCAGGACGTCCCCAGGGTTTTTACACCACCGCCCTGCGCAGGGCACTTCCCTTGGATGCTGACAGACTGGTACAGCTGCCGCGACTTACTGGTTTAGATAATCCTGCATGTGAAAACCAGAGAATAAAGTCGCCCTGCACAGTCACGCTGCTTCAGCTATGCTGGCAGGGCTACGTCCAGCCTTTGTGGCCAGACAAGGTTTGAGCCCCGCTCAACCACTGCTAAGAGGCCCTTTTAAACCTGACTCCTGCTTCCATCCGAGCTGTGGGGACCTACGGGAAAGCTCAGATCAGAAGAGCTGAAGTCGAAGCCCCGTGAGTGGGAAGGATCACTCACAAAAGCTGCAGCATCCAGGTGGCTGCGAGGTAAGGTCTGGGTGAGCAAGGCCCCCCGAGCGCCACAGCCCTGGGCAGGCGGGAGCCGGGCCGGTCTGGGGTGCTGGCAGGAGGCAGCGGGAGCAGCCTGTTTTCTTTTTTGGGGGAAAACATGCATTTGGCAGAGGAGTCAGAAGGATGATGTAAAAGATCTGGAGGCCACCCTACCAGATCTGCCCCTTGCTGCTCCCTGGGGCCAGCATTCAGCACAGAGACTCCCCCATGAAAGCAAACACAGTTTGGTTTTTTTTTTTTCCCCCCTTTTTTGTATTTTTTTTTTTTTTAGGCCAAGCTGCCCAGACCAGAACATGCATGCAACCGCTTCCGTGCCTTGCAACCAGCTCTCCAGAAATAACATCCCCACCAGGAGCAGAGGAAAGGGTTAACCTTCCAAGAGCCTCATCATCCAGTTTACTTTGGGAGATGAGACATACCAAAGAAACTGCCTTTTAACAAGAGGCTCCGGTCTTGCCGCACCCAGGCATGCAGGGGACAGCCTTGGGGGAAAGTCATCGCGCAATTCTCTTCAAATTCAGTCCATATAGCAGAGCAATTAGTCAGGCTGAATTAATTTATGGTGCTTGATTAGACTACTGCCCTGTACGGGCAAGTCAACAAACTGGAGAGTTCAGCTCCGCTGCCGGTTTGCCGGAGCGGCCGGGGCTGGGCCAGGGGACGTCCCGGGGGAAGCAGAGCGCCCCGACCCTCGCCAAGCCCCCGCGGGTGCAAGCCGGAGCCCCTCGCCCGCGTTAACTACCTCTTGGATGTAACGAACTTCGCTCTTCAGCTGGTTGACGTGCTCCTCGTGGTTCATGCCGCCCTCGGCTCGCGCCTTGAGATAAACCTGCCCAGGAGAGACGGTGGCAGCGGGTCAGACCGTCCCGGCTCCAGCCAGCCCAGTAACTCCAGCAGCCAGCCCAGCTCCGCAGGGACCAGCACACCGGATCCCACCGCTCCCTGAGCCACCTTGTCCGTGGGGTTCCCCTTTGCAGTTAACCCTCCCTGGCTTTTTCTGAAGCTGCTGCTTCACCCGCACGTCCCCCCACCCGCAGAGCTGCCCCGGGCTCACGCTGCATCTTCCAACACCGGGGAAGCCTGAGCTGGTGCTGCCAGCCAGCAGCGCTGCGCCAGTCCTGCCCGCACAATCAGGAGCTACACCGGGGAGCTTTTAATGGTGTAGTCTCGGACAAAACCTTTTTTCCAGCCCCAGTTAAACAAGATCGCTGTGTGACAAAACCAGGGAGCCAGGGACCGTACCTTGATGATCTCCTCGTCGCCATCGTTGGATTTGATGCATTCGGAGGCCAGGGAGTGACCGTTGCTGGATCTGTTGGCCACCATGGCGAAGGCTTTTCCCACCGGCTGCAAGAGACAGAAGCAGCAGGGCTTTCAGGAGGGCGAGACCGGCTGGAACGGTTCGCCCGGCTCCAGTCAAATGAGCACCGTGTGCTTTCGCAGAGGAACGCGGCGCCGAGCGCGGCCCCGCGAACCGGCACCGAAGCGTTTAACAGGCCAGGAGGCGACTTTTCCAGATCATGCGGCACAAAGCGACCGGCCCTCTGCAAAGTGCCCGCCTCCCCCTCCCCAGGTTAATTCACGATCTTGTATTTGCAACTCCAAAGCAAGCGGCGGGGGAGACCCACCTTCTGCTTCGCCTGCTCGCGCCTGTCGCCCGGGAGGTCATTCGGCAGAGTCAGCCGCAGCACCTTCACGCTCTCCTGAAACAAGAGCCGGGTTTTAGTTTTAAGTTTAGACTCCCTGAAAGTCTGTTTACAACCAGCTCTGGCCCGAGCCGAGAGCCAGGTCGGCATCGCTGCAGGCGCGCGGACAAGCTGCCTTCCCCCTCGGCTTGAGCTGCAGCCTGCGAAGTAACGCTGGGATCAGAATGAGTAATAGCGAGCGCACGGCGACTACATTTATCAAACCCATCAGGGCTTGGAGGAGCCGTGGCCCAGCCAAAGCTGAGGTAATGCAGACGGGCTGCAGGAGCGATTGCCGGGCTCCTTTTCGTGCATGCCCTCCCCTGCCAGGAGTCACGGCTGTCATCCCTCGCGGCAGCCGGCCCCGGCATTTGGTAGCAGCCCCGGGAGAAGGGCGACAGCAGCTCATGCTGGGACCTCGCCAGATTCATCCTTCTCCCTGCCCACCGCGGCGGCCACGTGCCCCCACGGCTCTGCCCGGCCCCTGCCAGCACTGCCCCGGCCTGGCAGAGCCCATTTCGGCAGCAGAGCACCCCCCGGCGCACGGCCACGAGCATCCACGGAGGCCTTGACCACTTAACTCCCCACCCGAAGCCTTCCTACCAGTGCCACCCGCCGATGGGCCATTTCAGCTGAGTCCAGCCCCGTGCAAACCTCAGCAAGCTTTCGAGGAGATGCCCGGAGCGTATGAAGAGCCCCGAAGCTGCACACGGACACCCAAAACGCTCCAGGGGGGTTGCCCACTCTCCGTAGCTCGACACCGGCACCGCGCACCCACGGCACTGCACAACCCCCCCGTGTCCCAGACAGACCTCACCGGCACCCGCGCAGCCGTCGCCCATGGCCCTCGGGAAACGTGGCCCCGCCAGCGGGAGCTGCTGGGCGTGCGGCGGCCCCGGCAGCGGCTCTCGGGCGGCAGCACCGCGGGGCCGGGGTAGGTGCCCGCGCAGCACCGGGGGCCCGCCCCTCGCCACACCTCGGCCACGTCAGCCTCCTGCTCTCCAAAAGCAACATCAAGGTATTTCTGCCTTCCCCGCTTCCAAGCGCTCTCCCCGCCGTCCAAGTCTCGACAAGCCATCTGTTTGTTTCCAAAATATTTTGTATACGCTGCTCGCACAGGCTCCGGCTCCCTGGGAAACAAGGAGCCCTCCTACAGATCTCCAACACGCCAGACCCCTTCGTTCCCCCACTAAATTATCCAAGAGAAACTCCACTTGGGCTCTGCTAGCACCCAGCAGCACCGATCGTTTAACCAGGTCCTTGTCCGCAACTTTTACTCCAGGGAATGTTTTCCTCGGCAAGACCCAAGAAGTTGGAAACTTCGGTCGGGAAAACAGAAGAGCAGCTGGATGCCGCGTGCTCCGTGGCCTTGGGAAGACGCAAGCAGCACCCAGGGTTTTACGGTGGGGAAAAGTGCTCCCGGCAGTGCCTGCGCGCGGAGCGTCGCTCATCTTGGTGCTGCCGAAAGCAAAGGGGCCCCGGGGCCGGCCGGCCGGCAGGAGCACGGGGCAGCCCGCCCGTCCCCTCTCGCGCCCTCACTCCCAGCTTTGTTTACAAGCACCGGGATCTCGCGTTCGCTGTCCCCGTCCCGTCAGGCCCGGGCAAGGGTGGGAGGCTGCCAAGGAAGATTTGCTGTGACAAGAAGCAAGCACTGGCCTATTTCCATCCCCACAGCCAAAACTACCCGAATCGGCACGCGGGTGCTTTCCACCCCAAAAACCTGCCCCCGGATAAACCCGCCCTCGAGCCGATGCAAACCGGCTGCGGCAGGGAGCGAAGAGCAGCCGGTGCCTTCCCAACCGGCACCAGCACGACCAAACCGCGGGTCAAACAACCAGGAAACCACCCATGCAAATGCCGGCGGGGGCAGGCTCCGCGGGCCGGGGCAGCGCGGGGGAGGCAGAGGGATGGCGAAACACCACATGGACATTTGAGTGAAGCTGGCTGGGACACCGGGGGAGAAAACCAGCTTTCTCGGTGCAGCAGATGCTTTTAAGGAGGCTGAGGCAGGTGCAGGAGGCGGAAGCTGCAGCTGGAGGAAAGCAAACCCATCCCTGCCCAGCTTGTTTGTCTGCAGCAGCCTCGGCCGTGGGGAGCTGCGCCCGGTCGGATGCAGGTGAGGAGAAGAGGCGCTTCATTCAGCTCTCGTCTCGTGCCAGTCCCCTGTGCCCGGTTACTTTTTGGGCTTTGCTTTCACCGTCCCACAGCCAAAGTTTCATCAGCTCCTTGCCGGTGCGGGACGGTTTC